TAGCTTGGAATCAGTGTGGGGCCATAGGAATAGTACAGGTGTCAATGTCAGTAGGCCATGGGAAGGCAAAGCCAGGGCCTGACTTTTGACTCTGGCACTACAGTGCATACCTGTCAATTTCATCTTCTTGAGATTCATCTTTCCTTTATCTGGTGACAGGACCTTCCTGCCACTTCATTGAGGTTTGGCCAGAGAATTGAATCTATGTCAAGGTTGGCCAATCATAGTACTCTTTAATCCTAACTGGAGTAGGGATTAGACATGTGACCTAATTCAGGACAAGCTGAATTTGTTTTGGTTAGGATTCATATGTTGGAGGCTGGGAGACAGAATCTCTCTTTCTTCTCAATTTGCTAAACTGAGGTGATTCAAGCAGAGTTATCCATGGTCATGTCTCTGCCCACTTCCTGTAGGAAAGAAGCTTTCTGCAGTGGAGAAGATACAGGGAGTGTGAGAAACAAAGGGAACAGAGGAGGGAGAGAGAAATATCATAGACATGATGACATCACTGAAATCAGTGGAGACCCAGGCTGGCTTCACCCTGGACTACCAAAGGACATGAACCAATAAATTCCCTCTTGCTTAAGCTGGCAATCCTGACCTCTCTCGGAGGGTGATGGGTATTGGGGTGGGCAGTACTCTAGTAAGGAATGACCATATTTTTATAGACAACAGAAAGGAAAAGCAGCAATGCTTCTGCTTAAAGAGCAATTCTGTCTGTGCCTGTGATTACAGTTACATTGTTTTATGTTTCATATTTCAGTTGTCTTTGTATTAATAAGCTGAATGTATATCTTGCTGCATGTTTCCTTTTGATTGTAGATCTGACATGTGTATGTTAAGGGTGACTCTGTTTCCCCTGTTTTTTGTTTTTTTCTTTGTATTGCCCTTACCCTAGGGTCTGGGATCTGCCACTCCCATACCCATTAACTCTAATATTCATAATTTTATCTACAGAGGGTGCTTTGTGATTTGCAAAGCATTCATCTACATTATCTCATTTGGTTCTCAGGACATAGTGTTAAGAAAGCAGGCATGGGATGTCTATCCTTGTCTGTAAGATTGAGAAACAGAAGCTCAGTCCCTGGTATCTTGGGACCAAAACAGAGGGGTGTGGACAAGTGATCTGACAGGTAACAGGTGGTCTGGAGCGTAGAAGGATTCCTGGATTTAGAGCTGGAAATCCCAGGCTGGCATCCTGGCTCTTTCACTTACTAACTGCCTGACTTGAACAAATCACTCAATCTTCTCATGCCTCCATTTCCCCATGTATCAAGTGGGGGAAATAGGTATGATATTTTCCTTCAAGGATCATTGTGAATATTATAAGCAATGACACTGGAGAAACGGCTCTGTAATCTGAAAAGTACTGCCCACCTGTTTGGTTGATTTCTATGGATGGCAGGCAGTGATGTGCAGGATCCAGCTACTGCAGGCTTACAAGAGCTGATTGAGTGAGTCTCTTCCCAGTGCCACATTCAGTGGCATCATGTTGGTAGCTTGAAATTGGGCATGGTGGGAATATTTACACCAAGGAAATGGGCAACTGTTACAAATCAGTGCTTTTATTTTTCAGAACCCATTGTTAACCAGCATACCACTGGTAGCAGGAATGGAAGGAGAGGAAAGGAAAGGATACTCATATTTAAGGTGAAGTAGATATTGAGCAGAAGGAGTTCTGGTAGCACAGTGCCTAAGGCATCTGACTGCTAACCAAAAGGTTGATGGTTCAAACCCACCAGCCACTCCACAGAAGCAAGACTGGGCAATCTACTTCAGTGAAGATTTACCACCTTGGAAACTCAATGGGGGTCACTATGAGTAGGAATCAACTCAGTGGCAGTAGGTTTGGTTTTTGGTTTTAGATATTGAGCAGAGTTCCTAGATGGTGCAAATCATTAATGTTCTTGGATGCTAATTGAAGAGTTGTAGGTTCGAGTCCACCTGGAGGCACCACAGAAGAAAGGCTTGGAGATCTGCTTTGCAAAAATCAGCCATCTCTATGGAGCAAAGTCCTAATTGACATACATGAGATCACCATGAATCAGAATTGACCTGATGGCAACGGGTTTACTGGTATATATTGAGCACATGCCTTGAAGTATCTCCTTTAGTCTCACAACAACCATTGGAGATAGATATTGACCCTATTTTACAGATGAAGTAATTAAAATTCAGAGGGGTTTCATAACTCAAGAACACACAGTAAGTTACAGAATGGGGACTCAAAATTCAGTCTCACATTCTCTATAATACAGTTGCAGCATTGCAAAGATGCAGTAATTAGCATCTATTCTTTCTCTGATCACCAACTCAGAAATAATGACCTATAAAATCAGTTTCTAGCCTACAGTTAGCATTTAACATCCCCGTTTGGGCTGCAATATCCCCATGGTTGTGTATAAAACTAGCTTGAAGGAAAGGTGGATCGGAGCACAGTACATTGAGCTGTGTGTAAGAGAACGAGCTGAAGGTCTTTGAGATTCACAGCTCTGTCTGGCCACAGATTAGATAAATGGTCCAGGGTCCCAGAAGTAAAGCACCACCATTGGATACAGGCCATTTGTAGCATTCAGACACTGGGAAGGAGAAAGTCAAGAGAATCTGTGTCCATGTCCCAGCTCTGCTACTTCACTTGTCTGGACTCAGTTTCCTCATCTGACAAAGTGAAACAACATCCAAACATGCCGGCTGCACCTTATTGGATTGCTGGGGGAAAGGATTACTACAGAGATATAAGGGAATTATGATGTATGTCAGCTGAGAACCTTTTCTCCCGTTGCTAAGAGAGAAAGGACTGTCTGTTTTCCTTTCCTGTCATCTCTTGCTCTACCCCCCCTTCCCTTCTATTTTTATATCTTGAGTCATTTATGTGATGATGTCCTGCATGCTTCAAACTAGATGAGGGTGGCAGACACAGAAAAAAAGAATGAAAAGGACCTAAACAAAATGAAAATCTGTTCCCTGCATGAGAAGATGACAGATGGATTCAGGGGCCAGCATTAAGAATGCAAGCATTTCCCCAGGGTGCTGGGCTCTTCCTGGACTTAATAGGTTTCTCCCTCCTGGCACTAGACAGGATAGTTCCAAGGATGCGATGGCCAACCTTCCCTCCTTCTAGAGAAATTGTGGGAGCATTCCAGAGTCTCCTGGGAGATCTGAGATTGAGAGCTATGGTAGGCGTGAAATGAACATTTATTTGGCAAGTCATGTGCCTTCCTTGTTTCATTTAATCTTCACATTTACTTTATGAGAATATATTTTCATTTTTATATTTTATAGTTGACAGAAGGGATACTTGAAGAGATGAAATGACTTTCCGAAAGATCATACACACAGATAGCAAGTGGTGGTGGGAACCCAGACTCTCTGGGTTCCTGTTAAGTGGTCTTTCCCCCCAGGCGACCTAGTGGTAGAGCAGAGGTCATTGTGGTTGAGGAAACCAGGCAACAGAAAGAAATTTTTATTGGTTCCCTGTTTCTACACATACCTTTTCCACTTTATTCTCTGCTAGAAGCCAAAGTGAGTTTTTACCAATAAGAATGGTCTATATCCAATAATGTAACACTTATATAATGGCTTAATTACAGACTTATGATAAAATCTAATGTCCTTCTGACTTCCTTCCACAAGATCAGGCCCCCTCTCTGATTTTCTCCATAACTTACGGTGTGCCACCAACTCACCACTCTCGCTACCTTCCAGCCACACCAACTTCCCTTCTTCTCAAAGTCAATTTATTTCTGTCACAGAGCCCTTGCACTAGCTAGGCCCTCTGCCTATAATATTCTTCCTCACATGGTTTACTCTTGGCTCATTATTATACAGGGCTCAGGTTTATTGTCATCTCCTCAGAAAATCCTTTCCCAACCACCCAACCTAATGTTGTATCCCACTCATTTCCTATCCCATCTCACCAGCTGTTTAAATTTTTGTCATAGAAATTATTACTATCTGATAGTTTGTTAAGGAGCGCTGGTGGCACAGTGGATAAGGCATTTGGCTACTAGCCAAAAGGCTTGCAGTGTGAACCCACCAGACACTCCACAGGAGAAAGATGAGGCAGTCTGCTTCTTTAAAAGATTTATATCTTTGGAAACCCTTTGGAGCAGTTCTACTCTGTCTTCTAGGGTCTATAAGTTAGCATTGACTAGATGGCAATGGGTTTTAATTTTTTTTTAATAGTTTGTTGTTTGTTGTTAATTTACTTGTTTACTGTCAATATCCTTTTACTAGAAAACAGGTTCCAAGAAAACAGGAGTTATTTGTTACTTGTTGAAAATTCCACCCCACACATAAAACAGTGGTTGTCACATAGGAAGCACACAATAAATGAGTGAATGAGTGAAGTATTATTGATGTATTATCCCAAGAAAGGCAGACATACATTGGATAAAGGAGGAAAAACGCGACCATTTGCTGCTATCACTTAACATGTGTCAAACTCTATGCTTATGTCATTTGAGTCTTGCAAGAATCTTATGAGACAGATAATCTGACTCCCATTTTGCAGGTGAAGAAATGGAGGCTCAATCACTCGGTAATTTGCTTAAAGTAACACAACTGCTACTGGAACCCTGGACTGCCTACTCCCGTGCTCACATTCTTGACTGTGGAGTGTGTGGGCATGTGTGACTGGGGGTTATGTACATGCATGTGCATGTGTCTACTGCTGCAGAGCTCCGTGTGTATGAGGACACCAGCGGCAGTCTGATTTGAGAGAGCTCCCCCCAATAAATAATCATTGCTTGACCTAAAGTCCACATCTCACCAGGGAGCAGACTACCCCAGAAGTTGAGGACTGCAGAATGGCTACAAGTTGTACTCCTCGCTATGACTGCAGCGGCGAGGGAACCTGTAAGTGGGTGCTAAAGTCCTTCTCTCCTGATGTCCATATTCCGGCCAGGTCAGGCCTCGCCACTGCTGCAAGCGCCTGCATTCTGTGCTAGGTGGCGAAATGCTGAGGGGCTCCCCTATTCGGGGGAATGCGGTAGTGATGTATAAGGTATGAAAGATGTGGCCTGCAGAGAGCCGGCACTATCTCTACTGCTGCTACTGCCGCTGTTGCTGCCGCCGCCACCGCCGCTACTGCTTCTCGCGGAGCTGCTGGGAGTGAGCATTTCCTTCCTGGGATACTCAGCACCGCCGTCCCTCCAGTGGGTCCCGGCTCTGCACAGACCTGGCAGCCCCAGGGAACAAAAGCAGAGCCCGTTCGTCCTCTCTCGCAACCTGAGGATGAGTCGAGAGGGCTGAGGGAAGAGTGTGGTCCACAGTGGTTGGAAGGTATGAGGTGTTGCGCCAGCCTGCTGCGGCGTGGGAGGCTCGGGATAGAAGCGCGGGGGTGGCGGTGGCTACAGGGACCAATCCGTTCCGCGGGCGCTGCTGGGACCTGGCGAGGTGGTCATTTGGAAAGTCTCACCCATACTGCCCAGCCTGGGGCGGGCGCCACGATCCCGCAGCCACAGGGAAGCCCTCTGGGTGGGAATTATTGAAGGAAGCAAGGGAAAAGTCTGGAGCCCGAAGCTGGGCAGCGCCTGCTGCGGAGCGACTGCCGGCGGCAATTGGCGGCGCGCAACTCGCTGCGAAAAGCAGGACGGGCGGCGGCTGCAGTGTGCGCAAAGTTTTGGGTCGCGCGCAAAGGCGCAGTCAAGGGCTGCGGCGGAAAGCAGCGCAAGTTGTAACCAGAGCGCGAGGGCGACCCCCGGGGGCCCCAGCGCAGACTCGCCCGAGACGGACAGGAGTGGTTTTTGCTCACTGCCACTCCAGGCGAGGCTAGGTTGACGCGCAGCCATGCAACTCTTCCCGGCAAGGCAGAAACAACTTCACCCGCGCCGGAGGCTGCTGGGCGCAGGCTGGCTGAGCAGCGTCAAGGCTCCAGCCTCATTCTGTGATCTTGGGCATTCCTCCACCTCCTCATTCCTGGTTTCCCCCTCCCCCGCCTTTTTTTTTTTTTTCTGTCTACTTATGTGATCAGAAGCCAGGAGAGCTGGCTGGGGGGTCTTCTACCCAGTCTATAATTTTACCGTCTTGCTATCCGGACTCCTGTTTTCTCTCTTCTCCTCTGCTTGGCTCTTTGATGCTGCCTTGAAAAATGAGATGATTAATCAATTAGGTTAGTGGCCAATTAGCCATAACCTTGTAGGAAAATAATTATGCCTGACTCTCCGGGCTTTCACTGGTGATGAGGTGGGAATCTAGCCCAGGCAGAGGGGCTGTGCTGAAAAGATAGGGCTGATCAGGGAATTTCTGGGAATTTCACATTAACAAAAATTCACAAGTGTGGTAGTGACAGAGATTGTAGGAGTGTAATAGATGTGTGTGTATCAGTTTTTTGCTGAGAAAATTAACCCTTGGCAGCAGACTCTGCGTGGACTTTGCAAGCAGCTTGTTCTCAGCTCAGAAAAGGTGTGCCCCTGCTTGCCAGCCCCCCTCCCCCTCTTCTTGGAGGGATTCTCGCCTGTAAATCGCCTCGCAGTGGCATCGCTGCTGCTTTGGGAGGTTGACTTCAGATGGATGCATTTTAGTTTCATGTTCGAGGAATCGAAGTGGTGCAGACGGAGGTTACTGTGCTCTGCCTTCCGAGGCCGCTCGTTTCCCCTGGTGGTGTTCAATAAAGCTGTAACTGAACGGATGCAAAAGGGAGGAATCTTTTTGGAGGGTTTGGAAGTTCTGCTGCGGAGTGGGGCTTTCTGTTTTTGGAATGACTGGCGGGGTTTGGCACTGCAGTATTACAGTACAGCCATATTTAAAAGGTCTTCGGAGCTGGAAGCCCTCCACCACTGCATCCCAGTCTTCAACACTCCTCTGCTCAAACCCTTGTTGCCGGAGCATGCAGGGGATTTCAGACACGCACCATGAGCATTTTAACCCCTTTCTGTCTTTATTTTAAGCTTCTTGCATCGGTTTATATATCTGAACCCTAGCTGACAGATTTCTGTTCCGAAGGCAAAAACCTAGAGATGTTCCCAGGGAAGAAGGATTTTTGCAACAGGTCCTAGGTCTATGTTTTCTAATAATGGATCCCCTTGGCATTCAGCGACCTGGAGCCCCAGTGCCCACTTCAGTAACCCTTTGGGGTTGGACCCAGTGGTCTCTGAAACCCCTGCAGTGTTGACATTAGATAGTTGTGAATTTTATGGCTTTTCTTCCTTTCTGAGCTGAGTGGGAGGAGTAGCTGAGCAGTGCAATGTAACAGCAGCAGTGCCACCTTACTCTCCGTAGAAAAGGAGAGGGGCTGACCAGTGCTTATTAGCAAATAGGAATTGTCCAGCTAAACTGCCTAGTGATACTGATGGCCAGGGACAACTGTGTGTTCCAGGCTCCACCCACTTTCCTCAAAATGAAAGGACCACCATTCAGCCCTTTCTCCCCCCACCCCTTTTTTTTTCCTTCTCTTGAAGCTACACTCAGCCAATTACCTTACAGTGACCACATGTGTTGGTCAGACCATTCAGCTCGCAAAGACCTGGATCCTTTTCTAAAATTGAAGCACCTTTTCTCTGTGTGTGTGTGTATATATATATGTGTGTGTGTGTGTGTGTGTGTGTGTGGATGTATGTGTGTGTGTGTGTATATATATATATATATATATATATATATATAAAAGGAAGGGGGGTTTGGGGGAAAGAGGAAAGGGGAGAAGAAAAAGGGAAAGAGGAAGAGTATGAGGTAGTGGTAAGAGAGGGATAGAGAGACAGAAAGAGGTTGAAACCACACAGAGACAGCGGATGAGAGGGAAGTGGGGGAGAGAGAGAGAGATAAAAGGGGGAAAGAGAGGGAGGGACAGAGGCAGGGGAGGAAAAACAGAGAGGAGGAAAGGGAGTATCTAGAGGGAGAGAGCAGAGCCCATATGAAGCAAGGACCTAATTTTCAACATCAGGCTTGAATAAAATATAACAGAACCCCCCAAACTGCAGAAGCCTCATTCCAGAAACCAGGGGCAGAATATCTGATAAACTTGCCGCTTGGAACAATTACTTATGAAATAAATAATGCACCACAGAAAGCCATTAGCTCCATTCCTCACTGCTTCCTTGATTAGGGATTCCAGTTGTTTGTACATAGTTGGAGTTAGGGGATCTGTTTGCCTAAAAGATAGGGAACCTCAAGTTGACCTTAAAGTCAACTTGAGACACTCCATTTGAGCAGGCTGGGGTGTGAAAAGCTCTGGAGGAGGTGTCCTTTTGCTTTTAGATCTCTCTTCTATGGGATTAGTAACTTAAAAAGTATATTTTTAATTCATTGAACTTTAGACCAAAAAAGAAAAATGAAGGAAAATATAATCTCACTTGCCACCTAGAACTAACAAATGGTGGGAAAATGATTCCAATTCATTTTCTCCTCTCCATCCTTCTTATCCTCACTCCAGACTATCCTCAGAACTTCCCAAACTCATCGTCCAGCCTCCACTATGGAATTTGTGACATGATCTTTCTAAAATATAGCTTTGATTATATTACTCCCCAGATCAAAAAGAATCAAGGGTTCCCTATTGCCTGAAGTATATTACTAAAATCTCTGACCATGGACTTCAAGGCCTTTCACAGGCTAGCTTCTTGCTTCCTCCTAAAATGTGTGTGATCCTTCACACATGGCCCCTCACACACACACATGCATAGTATCACACACACATGCATACTTAGACATGTACACTCACATCACATATGACTTTTGGTTTCTTGGTTGGAACAAATGCTATTTTTTACTTTGCAAGCATTACTTTTATTCCCTTTCTAGAAAATGTATTCCTAGTCTTTGGCTTGGTGAAGTCCACTCATTCCACTCATTCTGAATCCAACTCATAAGTGGCAGCCAGTCAGAGGTCCTTTTGTCTTGGGAAGCTCATGTTACCTTAGCACTTTTTACACTCCTCTCTTAAAGTACTATGTAATAATTATTTATATACCTGTCTCTCCTCATAGTCCATACATTCTTACATACAGGGGTTAATTTATTCACTCCTTAACTCCCAGGACCTAAGACAGTGCTTGGCACAAAAGTGTAGGACTGATGTTTAACAAATAAATTCATTTGAAGAATTTCTAAAGGATGAATAACAGCCATGACACCTTTTACACTTGTTTATTATTTTCTTGGAACTCTGGTGATGTAGTGCCTAAGGCATTTGACTGCTAACCAGAAGGCTGCACCAGCCACGCCTTAGAAGGAAGACTGGGCAATCTACTTCCATAGTGATACCGCCACGGAAACCCAAAGAGTAGTCACTATGAGTCAAATCAACTCAATGGCAGTGAGTTTGTTTTTTTGTTTTTTGGTTACTCATTATTTTAATTAATGTTTGTTATAAAAATAATGTAAGCTTTTTAAAAATTTCAGATGGGAGAAATGTGTAAAAGTGACAGTTCTTCCCATACCCTGTCTAAATAGCCACTATTTTAGTGCACTCTTCAGCACTGCTGTGAAACACTTGAATCGCTTCTTGACTTTCATGTTCTATTTTCCTAACTAGCATATATGCAGGGACTGTGCACATTATGTCTGTAGATATCCCTATAATGCCTAACACAGTATGTGCATATAAAAATGCCCAACAAATATGGAATAAATGAGCACATATTCGTCGGATATAATTTTTTAATTATATTAAATTATTTTACGAATATTGACAATATCCATATTACATTATGATCCTCATTTTAAGGATAAAGAAAACCAAACTCCAAGAAATAATCTCAGTTGGCCAGGTCATAAAGGGAGCAGCTAATAGGGTCTAGATTCAAACCCAGATCTTCTTCATTTTGTTGCCTCTATTCTTTCTACTCTACTCCATAAGTGGGGCTATGGGCACCCAGAGGCGAGGCACCTAACTGATTTTTATATGTTCAATATTTGTTAAAAGGAGCTCTGGTGATGTTGCAGTAAGGTATTTCACTGCTAACCAAAAGGTCAGTTTGCACCCACCAGCTGCTCCATGGGAAAAAGATGAGGCTATAAAGATTTAAAGCCTTGGAAACCCTATGGGGATCACTGTGAGTCAAAATCTATTCGATGGCATTAAGTTTGTTTTTTGGTTTATAATATTTGTTCAGATGTTAGGAAAGTACAGAGCACTTTGCCCTCATCTTCACAATACTCTTTCCAACTAAGTACAATTATCCCTTTTTTACAGATGAGAGACAGAGACACACATAACATTTGGCCAAGCCCTTAGAACTAGGAAGAAGTGGGAAGAGGTATTGGACCCAGGTATTTGGGCCCAAAGCTCAGTAGTTGCACTTAGATGTAAGAGTTGATATTACTGAGGGGCAGGACACC